CCATTTGCAGCTTGTGGAGCCTGGACTAAGAAAAACAGGGACCGCCCCCCCACCCCCCCACTGAGAGCAAAGTGCCTCCACACACATTTACCTCATTCATTCCCTTCGCCACCGGCTTCAAACATTTGAGCTCCTACTATGTGCAAGACACCAGTTAGGAGCTTTGGTGAGCTATGGGGTGGGGGGTAGAAAATAGGGTTACCCTCCTGGGGAAATGGCATGCCCTAGAATCTCTCCAAAGAAGTGATGAAGTAAAGACACTAAGGTCCATATTTCTGAGAAACTGACTGCTGAGTTTGCCTGATTGTCCTGTGTCCATGCCAGAGACCCCCGTCCCCCCAGAACACCTGCCCTCACTCTTCAGGGACAGCCCTTGACAGACGCACGTTACTTGGAGCACCCAGACCTTCTCCCTGACCATATTCTCACCAACACACTCTAAGTAAACTTCTGAAGAAAAATAGTTTTCCTGTACAGATTTCCCCACGTGTATATATTTTTACGTTTAAAAAAGCAATTTCTGTTTCCAGGGGAATTTAAGTGAATTTCACTATTTTTCCTGCCAGAAAAGGAAAACAAGATTATATACAGATGTGGCACTAGGGGGAAAGAGAACAAATACCTGTCAGTGATCGCCTGGTTCCCTCATCCCTTTCTCCTCCCCAAAGGTTTAGAGGAACCAGAGATCAGTCGCCAAATTGGGAACTTAGAAAGGAAAATAATTGTAGGGGCGCCTGGGTGGCTCAGTCGTTAAGCATCTGCCTTTGGCTCAGGTCATGATCCCAGGGTCCTGGGATCGAGTCCCACATCCAGCTCCCTGCTCAGCAGGGAGCCTGCTCTCTCTCTCAAAAAAATAAATAAAATCTTTTAAAAAAGGAAATAATTATAAATGAAAACCCTAAACTAAAACCACTTTTGAAGCCAGCTTTCTCGGTAAAAAGCAAATGTGGCAAAGTGTGAACAATTGGTGGGTCTGGATGAAAGTGGAGGGTGGTCCCTGGGTCGCTCTAACCTCTTTCTCAGCATTTGAAAGTTTGCAAAATAGCACGTCAGGGAGGTGATAATCCTTTCTCCTGTAAGTTCTCCAGTCTCTCAGAAACTCTCTCATACAAACTCATCATTCTTAAAACTGTCATTCTTTTAATCCAGGATAAATTGGTTCTAGAACTGCCAAGTGGTGCATCTATCTTCCAATTAACTTGACAGCAGATTGCTGGATAAAGTGGTTCCTTAGCAAATGGGGTTGAAGATACCAGACTTTGTATGCTTTTTTCTTTTTTCTTTTTTTTTTTAAGATTTTATTTATTTATTTGAGAGAGAGAGAGCAGGGGGAGCAGGGGGAGTGGCAGGCAGAGGGAGAAGCAGGCTACTCGCTGAGCAGGGAGGCCAATGTGGGGCTCGATCCCTGGACCCTGGGATCATGACCTGAGCCGAAGGCAGACGCTTAACCGACTGAGCCACCCAGGCGCCCCACTGCATACTTTTTTTCAAACAAGAGTGGGAATTTTGTAAAAATATAGTAATGTTAAAGTTTATGAATGTTTTAAATTTTTCTATTTTTTCTTCATGTATCTCTCTATAGATAAATGAACCTCATGGAGTCTATGAAATCTAATGCCTCTAGCTTGGAGAGTGAGGTCCTTAATGTTCAATGTATACTAGTTAATTCAGTGACTACAGTATTTGCTGTGCAAACAGGAGATTTCCAGACCCGGGCCTGCCCTATTCCTTGCTGTGCAGCCTTTTTAACAAAATCACTTCGCTTTCACCGGATGCCAGTTTCTAACTAAAATGAGAGCTTAGACTAGAAGAATCTGAGTCGTCTGTGATGCTCTGTGAAACATCAGTGCTGTTGTCTTGGTGTCACTTTCTATGTCCAAGCCTCTGAATTGGGATCAGTCAAGGTGTTGTGGAGAAGGGGCTGGTGAGCACGATATTGGCATTCAATTACCTATTAATGAGATGAAGGCTGAAGCCTTAATCCCAACCACCCCAAAAATGTCTAACACTGATCCTAGGAGGAACTGCCTGAGACTCCACAGTGAACAAGTCCAAGCTCTTGGCAAGGCAAAGGAATGCCTACCAGTGTGGAGGGCAGCATAGTTTAACACAGCGACATTGAATGTGATTACATAGTCGGTCCTCATGGGCTCATAGCTGGAGTCACTGCAAGGTGGGGTCCCCAGCATCCTGGCAACCCCGGACCAGCTGAGCATGGCCAGATGATGCTCCCAAACAGTGGTGATTTAGGACAGAAATGATATCATGGAGTTTGTTTACTGTGGCCTACCCTCAATGACCTGAGTTTAAAAAGACAGCCTGTCACTTGGACTTGCCACAAAGTGAAAAAAAATGCTGGCTCTGGAGCAGGAACAGCTTGGATTCCAATTACTCTGCCATTTGCCAGCCCTATAACCTCGGGTCAGTGACTTAACCTTTCTGGAGTTCCCTCTCTCTCCTCTGTAAGATAGGGGTGATAGGAACAAGGACCCCACAGGACTCTTACGAGGATCAAATGACATCGTGCAAGGGAAGTGTCCGAGCTTGGACCTGGACTGCAGTAACCCTGAATACATTTAGCCAATAACATATCTCTTTTAGGCTTTACAACCTAATACGTAGTTGAAGCTTTACAATCACGTGGTCTCTGTTGCAACTACTCAGCCCTGCAACGACTTTGCAAGGACAGCCAGAGACGCAAACACAAATGCGCTGGCTCGTGTCCCCATAAAGCTTCACTCGTGGCTGTGGAAATCTGAATTTCAGGTAATTTTCGTGTGTCATGAAATATTATTTTGATTTTCTTGCAACCCTTTTAAGATGTGAAAAACATTCTTAGCTTTCAATCCATAAAAAAACCCAGGTGGAGAGGCACTTTTGGCGCACAGTCATATCAATCACCCACCCCGGCTCTACAAGAATAAAGATGCGGAAAAATGTATAGACCCGTCCACCACGTTGTAAAATATGTTAGGGAACCGCAATTAGAAATCTAGTTGAAAACAATTTGCTATAAAACAGAATTTTGGGGACGCCTGGGTGGCTCAGTTGGTTAAGCGACTGCCTTCCGCTCAGGTCATGATCCTGGAGTCCCAGGATGGAGTCCCACATCAGGCTCCCAGCTCAGCAGGGAGTCTGCTTCTCCCTCTGACCCTCCCCCCTCTCATGTGCTCTCTCTCTCTCTCATCCTCTTTCAAATAAATAAATAAAATCTTAAAAAATAAAAATAAAAAAATAAAATAAAACAGAATTTTGTTCATCTGGTACCATATCTAAGTAAGTTTAATTTTCTTAATATATAAAATAACCTATGTAAGAGATAATGCCACGGTAATATTAAATAGCAAGATTAAAAATCTTCAATGACCTGTATGAAGTATGGACAAGATTTTTAAGTGAATGAATATTTTACTTTTTCTAAGAGATGAATAATGGACAAAATTGTTGCAGCTTGTCCCTAGGTGAATGTTTTAAACATTCTGAAGACTTAAGAACTTAGAATTACACACATTCACACTTTTATTTCTGAAAGGTGAATCCTTTCAAAATTATCAAATGTTACAATATTTTCTTAGTATTTGTATACAAGAAAAAAGGGAAATATAATTTACATATAAATACATACATAAGGGGCGCTTGGGTGGCTCAGTCAACAGTAGGACCCTTGATTTCGGCTCAGGTCATGATCTCAGGGTCGTGAGATCGAGCCCCGCATCAGGCTCTCCGCCGGGTGTGGAGTCTGCTTGGGCCCTCTCCTCTGCCCCTCCTCCCCACTCCCCATGCATGCTCGTGCTCTCTCTCTCTCAAAAGAATATATACATACAGAAATATCAATAAAAATACTATAGCTGATAACGCCAATGTGTAAAATATTTTACCAAAGCACTGTTGTGTACAGTAGTTAAACACTACTATCTAGCCTTCCATTATTTTTCCTTCAAGTACAAGCCATTTAAAGGTAAAAAGTATTTAAATAAAACACAATGTCTAGCTACGTTGAACGAACTCTTTGTATGTTTCATGTGCTTTTAAATGGTCATTTTCATTGTTTTCATTTTAAAAGATATTGCGGGAGAGTTACATTCTCTTCATTGATGCATGGTTAGTAGTACCAGAAAAACTGCTTTCTCTGAAAAAATTCCCCTCTTTAATATGGAATCTAATGAAAATATAGATAAGATCGTTGAAACCTGACGTAGACGTTAGAGTTTCCAGCAAAAATACATTAAAGCATAAAGAGAAAATAGTAAAACCATCTTTAGTATATTCAGGACATCAAGGCCATCATTTTAAAAGCCCTAAATGCTGCCTATAGGGAAAGCTGAAAAACATTTTCTTTTGATTAAAGAGCATGATAAAATCATTTAACATGTCTTTTATAATATGCATCTACATTTGACTGTGCTGGGGAGCGTGTCCGGGTGTGGTTGTACTAACAGCACATTCCCGTGTGGGAAGATAGTCACGGACTTCGGGCTGGGCCAACCCACTCCTTTTCCTTTAAAAGGGCTAATAATGCTCTAAACTTCTTGCCTTCTTTAGAGACACATGAAACCATCACAGGTGCTGGACAATAAAAGGGTTATGTTATAAAAAAGAAAAAAAGATATCCCATATCTAGTCAAAGAATCCTGTGGTTTCACTAAAACGTGAATTTGTACCTTTTTTTTTTATAATTATTGGGTGGCTTTTATAAAAATAAAGCTGTTTCCTTAAGGGGGAAAAAACTTTTGCCAATCAGAATATCTTCATTCTGGGGAAAAAAAAAAAAGACTTTTTCCTCTGAAAATAATGAACTTCAGTGCCTGGCTAGATGAAAATTCACTGACTTATTCAAATGAAAACAAATTTTTGTGCCTCTAGAGATGAGGTTTTTGTTCACTAGCACGGTCTGAGATAGCATCTGGAAACTGTCATCAAAATGTTAAGATTCAGAAGCAAGCATCTGTGTACAGAGTTGGACCCTGCTGACTTAGTGCCACTACCACCAAAGGTGACCATCCAAAGGGACAGATACATGATGGCAGTCTGCAGGCTGGTAATATCATCTCGCGTCCTCTGCTTCCAACCACATGTTCACAAATGTTTGAATTTATATTTAAACTCAATATCACTTAATGGTGGTAAAATGCCCAAGCCTGCACGGGACTGGTCCAAAGGGGGACATTTAACCTGGCTCTCCACAAGCTCCAGTTCAAAATAGGAAAGCATCAGAATCAAAAACTGCTTGATTTCCTGGACAGCAAATATTCTTCCCGGACATATTGTCGCTCCTGACCCAAAAGGCATGTAGTAATACTTTAACTTGATTCCATTACTATAGAAGGTGGTCTTTGTCTTCCCATTTTCATCAAGATATCGATCGTATTTAAAGGTCTGCAATAAAAATACAAAGAAAACAGAACTGTAAGATAGTTTTAAAGGAATTTATCAGTTTCTTGACCTGGACGCTCTGGAGAATAATTTTCTTTTTTAATCCAATCTATTGGTAATTTAGCAAATTCCCCACCTTGACTCAGAAATTAATAAGGAATAGGAGTTTAACAAGAACTGATGGGAACAGAAAAAGCTTTATAATACCTTTCATCCTGCCTGGGTGACTAGTTCCTCCATTAGGCAGAACAAGAAGGAAGAGTTCAGATTAGAAACTAGAAGAACCAGTATATTAGCCTCTCATTTTCTGGATTTGGGAGCAGCAATTGTTAAGGAAAAAGAAAGGCAGCAGCTTTATTATAATGACTGCAAACATAATCTAGCAGAGATGATGTGATGACAAGTATCAGGAATTTTAAAATTCAGGCCATCATCCAGGTTTTCCAAAATATATGAATATTGGACATAATTAAGAAGACAATGCCTATGGCTTCAATGGTTAAGTCAGCTCTGCAATGGCAAATATCCTCTTATTTTTTTAAAGATTTATTTATTTATTAAAAAGAGAGCGATAGAGCACCTTTTGGGGGGGCAGAGGGAGAGGGAGAGACATAATCTTAAGCAGACTCCTCGCCAAGCACAGAGCCCAACATATGGGGCTCGATCTCATGACCCATGAGATCATGACCTGAGTCCAACGTTTAACCGATGGAGCCAACCATGCGCCCTGGTAAATTTCCTCTTTATTTCCATCTGGGTAGACATCACGTGGATATTGAATTTTGATGAACAGTCACTTACCAAAGGGTCTGGGTAGATTTCTGGATCAAAATGCATTAACTGCGGGTAAAGAGCTATGATGTCATCTTTGCGGATGTTATAGGAACTGTCCTGGAGGTGCAAAGTGAAATCCTCTTTAGCAGTCCGGATGTTCAGGGAGGCACTGGAAAGCCTCAGAGACTCCTTGATGATGCTATCTAAATATTTTTAAAGGAAGAAACAAGGAGAAGGAGGAAAGCAAGAACAAATCACGATTTAAAGGCCTCATAATATGGAGTCTGAAATACTGCTAGCAGATTATAACACAACCTGAACAAACTAGGGGAAGCTGGCCAGATAAAACTTACCCAATTTTTTTTTTTCTGTTGCCACTATGCTGTAATCAATGATTCAGTTGTGTCTGAATGTCATTTTTACCTGATAATCTGAGTTTATGATAATCATTTTGTAAGGATATAATCTTCTTGGTTATCAATGGCAACTAGATTTTATAATTTTATGGAAAAATAATCTTATTTCCACATGACACTAGACATCTAATACAATTGGAAAAATCAGTAACTCACTCTTATGTGAATTATTCAAAGTTTATTACTTCTGAGATTTAATATACTGATATCATTTTCATATAGAAATATTTTTCCAGATGTTTAATGCCGCTTCAATTCAGTGTTTCCAAGACCCCGTTTTTATGATTACACTACCCGATGGTGTGTGATGGTGCCTTACTGTCTGGTAAAGATATAAAGGGACAAAAAGAACCACCCTGCAAATAGCTAAAATATGCAGATCCAATGAGAAGGTCTAGCCTGACCTTCCAGCCTCTATCCTTTTAGCAGACATGTTTTAGGTGGTCATCATATGATTGTGTGTAAAATCATAACCTGTCAGCCCTTTCTTTTTCAAATGAGAAAAGCAAGTCCCCCCAAAATGCAATGACATGTCTGGGGTCATCCATGGTTGGCAGAACGCAGCATAGAACCTATGCTTCTTGCCTCATGTCCCTTGCACTAAGACTTGCTGCCCCTAACAACATGCACTGGGTTCTTTCCTCAAGAGAAAAATAACAAAAACAAAAAGAAAACTCTTTATCACTATAAACATAGAGTATTTTTGTATTTCTGCCAACCACAGAGAAGCAAAAATAAGAAACACAAAATAATCTTCAATCCCATCACTCAACCCATGCAGCTAATTGTAATGTCTTGATGGTACTTTTTCCTCCTTTATTTCATGAAAATGAGTAATATGCTCCCATTAATCATAACATCAGTGATAAGAGTAATAATAATAAAGGAGACAGAGTAGGGCAGGGCAGAGAAGCAGTTGAGAAGGTAGAGTCAGGAGTCTCACATTAACACTGTATCTGGTTCCACCATTCCATCCCGGGTACGAACTTAACCTCTCCGTGTCAGTTTCTTGATCTGTTCTATAGAAATTAGTCACCAGTCATAGGATTGCAGTGAGGATCGAACAGGATCACACATACGAAATACTTCGCTTAATGCCTACAGGTAAGTGCGTAATAGATACTGGCGATCACTGTTTGTGGGACACAGTAGATGAAATGTAACACAGTAAGCATACCTAACACTGGCATGTCATTCAGTTGCATTTGATTCAAACAAATAGGACTGCCGTCAAAGCTGATTTTTTGGCCAGCATTCTCTAGTGTTTTACTCACTTCTTCAGCAGCTGCTTTCATTGCTTCAGGGCTCCTAGCAAAAGTGGAGAAAAGAAGAGATGTACAGAAAATAAATGTTTTCTATACCAAAAGATCTGCAAACAGGAGTTTTCCCCTTCTTTTTACTAGGTGGTCAGGATACCAGAGAAAGTAGGAAAGGGACATTTCCCAATTACTTTTTAGTCCATTTTGTAATTGTGTCTAAATCCTTGGATATTAGCCAGAATTGTTGCCTTAAAAGGCCTTGCAACACAAAAGTAAAACTTTGGCCATACTTTTATAGATAAATGATTCCAATAAAGATTAAATGGTCAAATTAGTTATATACATAACAATTGAGAAGGAATATTGCATGTAAGATTAACAATTATAAAGTATTAGCTAAATTGCAAATGGATGTCAAAATTTACCCTTAAAACCCATACCACGATTTCAGGTAGAACAACAGCTTTTCCATTCTTATATTGTTCTAGCATTTTAACTTGTAAAATGAATGCTAGTGCGTTTTAGTGCATGGACATTTACTGGATCCTTAGTGCCATGGGGAGGGATCTATATAACACTATTGCAGTAAATGAGTCTCAGAAATGTTTGACTGATAAGTATATGTGTGACTGTCATAAAATGGCTACTATTACCCTTATGATATTACATTGATGTTGTAACCTTACTGAAAATATATGAACTTACTCTGGACGGAGATCTCTTAAGTAAAAACTTGGGAAGACATTTAACATTTGAGACAGATTAGTATGGGGTTTTTATATCTGAAATTGTTTCTAATTTTTTTTTTTTGAGAGAGAGAGAGAGAGAGCGCACGCATGCGTGCGTGGGAGGGTGGGGCAGAGAAAGAATCTTGAGCAGGCTTCATGCGCAGGGCAAAGCCTGACGTGATCTCACAACCCTGAGATCATGACCTGAACTGAAATCTAGAGTCAGACACTTAACCGAATAAGCCACTCTAGTGCTGCTAAATATTTTTTATATTAAATACATAAAATTGTCAGCCATCAGTGGAAATTTGGCATTCCCAATGCTATGGTATAGTAATTTTGTGTCCATGTGACACTAAACACCCAATTTAACCAGAATAATCCAATAAACCATTTGAATGTCAAATTTCTAAAAGACTAACACTTTGGAACACAGTCATGTTATGTAAAGTATGTTACATACAATGTTTTTGTTACATACTTTTAAAAGGCAAAATCTAGCCAAAGCCCATCAATAATAATCAGTAGAATTGATCCGTAGCTATCATAGTTGGTCAAATAAACAGTAAGACAGAAATTACTAATGGGGTGGAAACAAACTGTTAATACACAGAGGACTAAGGCATAGGCACTGCCCTTTCACTGTCCACAAGTCCGAATCATTAAGTACATTTTTATGATTATGAAGACATAATTCATCAACTTAAGTAGGCATCATGAGGAACAGCCTGGGGTTGAAAGCAAGGGCTCTGGGCCCAGATGGCCTGAACTGACCCTATGCAGTGCATTCTTCCCCCTGGAAAGGTCTCTGCTTCCACAAAATGAGTGTGCCAGGCACGGCTGCTTATGGTTTTGTGAGGATTGGATGAACTGATACATGTTAAACACTTATAAAGTAAATGTCACATTCTTGATTGATAGCATGAGAAATTACCATGAATCTTTTTTTTTTTAAAGTAGTAACTTTTCTGCTTTCAATTAAAGTAAAGAAATAAATGGATAAATTGCTAGTTACCTAATCATTTGAAATAAGCTCCAGAAAGTCGCCGGGATGGTGTTTGCTTGTGACGCCCAGAGGATAGCAAGGTGTGTCTTAGCCTTATCCATGTCATCTAAGGTGGAAAGCATGTCATTCAGAAACCTGACCAGTTCCGAGATGCGGTCTCTCTTTCCAAGGTTCTCATGCCTCAAGCCCTCTGCCAGTTTTTCCCTAGCATGGTGTGCGGTCTTGAACACATGAATGGGGAGGCCTGCTACCAGAGCCGGAAAGATTTTGTCAAATTCCTTGAAGTGGTCAAGGTTATTCAGAATGAGTCCTTTTTGTGCATCTTGCCCTGTAAGATCTTTGCCAAAGAGGGTTAAATACCCAGCTTCAAACATCACTCGGTAGCAGAAGGAATACATCCCTTCCGTCACCCAGACAGGCGTCTTTGATTTAGATACCAGCGGACGTCTCATGACAAATTGGAGGTTCTCCATCATGGCTTCTGTGAGGGAATTCAAGGCATCGCCCTGCAGGGTTTTGATGAAAGTTTTAGTTATATTATCAGTGGTATTTCCATCACTCGGGTCAATGCTTCTGTGCCCAAATGCCTGCCGATAAATGAAATATGTGAAAAAAGAGATTAAACCTGATGCAGTGCTAGAAAATGGCAGAAAAGCAGATTAGAGACTTCCATAATTCTCTCCTTGTTAAAAACAGGGCAGGAGGGAAATTGGCCTTTGTACATACAATTTCATAGCACTTTCCAAATAAATGGTCAAATCCTACCCTCTCTGGAAGGCCAAGTTGAAATTCTAGCCCTTCAGCGAAACTTCTGGCAACCATGAAAGTTGTCCATTTCTGACTTTCCTTATGCTACTAAATCTATTGGCATGTTAATTTGGTATTAATCCATATTTGTCTTAGTCATCAGTTCTCTGCTACATTTATTGTAGAGGTACTTTAACCAGACTTTAGTCTACTTAGAGCTGAGACCGTGTCTAATATTTCCTTGCAGAGACTCACTAAATATTGGCTAGTTGCCGTCTCTCTCAAAGAACCTCTCAGATTATTGCTAAGCGACGCCCAAATATCTGATAAGTTGCTTGACAAAATTTAAAAGTTGTGTGGCAAAAGTGTGGTAAAACAATTGTTTAGTGCTAAGTTTCCGCCACGTGTGCTCTGGGAGTTCCGTCAATGCGGTTGACATGAAGGAGTTTGTACCTGTCTTATTGATACAGTGCCACCTGGCTCAGTAAAATATTTCATTTTTATTTCACTCTAGGTGGTTAAGAAATGATAAATCTATACCTATTTTGACTTTTGAAACAATTACTACCAAGAGGTTCTGTCTAATTGGATTCATTATATTTCTAAGAATCTCCATGGAAGGATAACTCTCTTCAATATCTCCATTTTTAAGTCTAAGTACATCAAAAGGCTTAAGTAGACTGACATACTAAAAAGTAGAAAAAAGCTGAATGCTGTATAAATGGGAAACCGGTTACCTTTGCAGAAGTAGTGAAGTGAAACTTTTTCCAATCCAGGTATTTTCCATGGCACAACACCTTCTGGTATGACAAGGGATTTGTGATGAAGTGGACATAGTTTCCCATCAATCTGCAGGTGAAAACGTGACCATGTTTCCTTTGATTTGCTCTCAGGAACTCAAGAGGATTGGCACCAAATTTCAGAGCACATCCCAGGTATGGAATCAACCCATTCTCCAGAGGTGGTTCACCCATTTGTCTGTAAGACACAAACATATGATAAGTATGGGAAATTACACATTGTTTTTATTTACACCTGATTTAAACTTTTACTACTGACTTCAAACTTCAAAACTCTACAGTTATAGATAGTTCCTTTGTTGAAGGGGCCCTGCTCTTTTACTAAAATAATGGGTTTTATTAACCTAGTAACATGATATGTTGGTAAAAATGATTGCTAAATTCATCCATCCATCTATCCATCCATCCATCCACCCATCCCACAAACACTTATTGAATGTCTACTATGTGATAGACACTTTTTCCAATGATGAGGATAAAAGGGTCAACAAAGCCAACAAGATTCTTCCTCTCAGTACAGAGGAAACTACACTCTAGTGTTTATATTTTTCCTAAACATCATTTGCCTGAGTCTCTCAAAATGTTTTATATGATTGTTTTCTTTAAAGATATAAAATACTGAATTGCAGAGAAGATGGCAAAATTGGAGTTTTCAAAATCTTCAGAGTTTAAAGACATTATTATTCTATAATGATTGTTGAAGATAAGAATCTCATTTGAGAAATTAGCTTATTATAAAATGAAATTAACTAAGATAAGTATTGATAGGATCACCAATTGTGATTCAACACTTTCATGCTATTTGTTGTCTCTTTTTTATTGAAGTATAGTTAACACACAGTCTTTCATGCTATTTATTTTTTTTAAGATTTTATTTATTTATTGGAGAGAGAGAGAGAACACAAGCAGGGGGGAGGGGCAGAGGGAGAGGGAGAAGCAGGCTCCCTGATGAGCAGGGGTTCTTGACCTGAGCCAAATGCAGATACTTAACCGACTGAGCCACCCAGGCGCCCCTCTTTCATGCTATTTTAAATGTTTTTATTAAATAATATAAACATTAATTTTCCAACATAAACTCCTATCCCTCTTGACAGAACTACTTAGCATAAAATAATTAATGTTCATTTTATGAGTTCAAAGATAAGTAAGGTTAACAACTAAAACTAGAAATTATCGGGCCTGAATTAAAATACCTTAAAGCATACGCACACGCGCACACACACACACACACACAACAACTTGTAAACGAGACAACACATAGCAATCTACATAGCTGAAGATATGCTGTGGGTAATTCTAGCTTTTGGAGATTGACATAACAGAATACTTACATAGCCCTCCCCCAAATACTCCTTGAACCAATCAGAAGGTAAATAAAAATGGCTATGTATGTGACTCTATTTGTATTTCTTGTCTTCTTGAACCCATTATAAATAAATGACACATAAATAAAAGTGATGTTACCTAAATTTAGCAGTTGCCCGATTTACCATGGTTTATTATCATTAATGAGAAGAAGATAATAGAATGACCAATGCAGGCTCTGTGCTCCTGTCCAGACCTAGGCTGAGTCTATCCAGTACACAAGAACTAGCTGGGAAGAGAACATTCTATTTAGTCAGAGCATCTATTTAATCCTCATGCTAGAAAGAAACCTTTTCCAATACAGATCCCACTTACCACTTGTATCCTTACTAATCCAGACTTCATCTTTATATATACCCAGAAACATACACAGAGACCTTATAAACTTTTTGTCACTTATGTTTAACAAGTTTGTACATTTTTACATGACCATGGGTATGTCAATACTAAAAGGGAAAGACTGTCATTCAATCTTTTATTAGATGTAATATGATACCACTTCAAATTTGTAAATTATATCTTAAATTTAAAGTTTTTTAGTTAAAAAAAGGAAGAAAATGCTAGTGAGTCTAAGTACAGAACACCAAATTTATTATATAACAACGAAGGTAAAAGAACTTTAAATGAATGAACTAAAACGCAGCTTAAAGATAAAACTTTCCTTACCTTCTCCTCATTCCAAGAATAAGCCATAAACAACAGCACACTGCTACAACAATCCCCCAGATCAAAGATATGGTCATCATTTTGCAAATCTAATGCAAAACTTCTGAAGAGGAGAGTCTCTGATTAGAAAGGTAAGGATGTCACTGAACAGAGACTCCAGCTAGACTTTTATATAAGGTAAGATCCTACACTTGAGTGACCAAAGCAAACAATTAACCATTTGTTCAACCTATTAGAAAAAAAAAATACCTGGCCTTGAACTAAGTCCACAGGTATCAGAAGAGGTTCCAAAACAATCAGAGACCTGCAATAGTTGATAAGTTGAAGGTCTTTCAAACAGATGCTGACTTAACATTCAGACCTGGTAACAACAGCTAATATTGCAAGTTTAGTATGCTTATAAAAAGGACAAAACATAAACGTGTTCAAGATGAACATATCAAATAGCAGTGTAAAATATAATAATTTAAAGAAAAATAAGTATATGTTATCATTAAGCTAGTGGTTGGATCTTGTTACCTTTTGAAGAAGAAATCAATTTAAATGATTAACAAGAGATATGGTGGTCAAGTTCAAAGGAAAGAGAACTGAGGGAAATGATTCTGCTGCTTCATGTTTCAGTGCTTTTACCAAGTCATAGATAATGTACTATATATAGTAACACGTTACTTATCTACCATTCTCAAGAAAGTATCCCACATAAGTTCATCTTCCAATTAAACAATTTAAACATCACAATTTTATCAACCATCTTTGCTAATTTAAAATATGTTTATTAATTTTTCTAATTTTTAAAGTAATACAATTTCATTTCGAATCATTTAGGACTAACTGAAACATATCTTGGTAGAAAGGGAAAGTCAATTTATAATTAACCTCCCCTACTACTCCCCACTCAGAGGCAACGACTGTTAACTGTATGGTATGTATCCTTCTAAATTTTATTTCAGTGTACACATATACATAACTTGAGCACCTATTCTGTGCCAAGAAATCTTCAAAGATTTTCTGGTTACAGGTGTTAACAAAATGGACAGATTTCCTACTCTAATGGGGACTCTATTTCAATAGAGAGCCAGATATTAAAATATAAGTGTTAATAAAATAAAACATGGTGTAGAAAGTATTGGGGATGAGAGCAGCTTTAGATGTGGTATTCAGGGAAGGGCTCTCTGACCTTGTAAGATCAACAAGGGAAACAATAAAGCCCAGGAAAACAACAGAGCCCAACACCAGGCCACAAAGCACTCCATTTATTGATGTCAGTCAGAGAGTGGGAAAAGAGGAGATAGGTAAGGAAGAACCAGGAAGAAAACCAAGAGAATATGGTGTCACAAGAAGCAAGAGGAGAATGCACTTGAAGATGAGTGGTGAACTGTATCACATGCTACTTTGAGGTCAAGAAAGATGACAAAGAAACCTTGGATTTGACAACATGGATATAGTTGGTGAGTCACACATAAACACAGAGAGATGGGTTATATTGGATCCTTTTTTTTTGTTCTATAGCATTAAAAAATGAATGCCACATTATGGACATTTCCTGTGAGAGAGAGGGAGAGAGAGATTTTTTACATATATATATATATATATATATATATGTCTCTTCACTTTTAATGTGCGTATAGTCTTCCATTGACTAAATCAGTTAACTGATTCCCTACTGATGGACATTTGGTTTGTTTCTAGATTTGGGCCATAGAATCCATAGAATAATCTCATGCTTTTTTGCCTCCTTAAGCAGAGACCACAAATCTTTTTGTGTTTTGTGATTTATGATCATAATTATTGATATCAATCATTGTATGGCAGTACATAGATTTCTCAATCGACTTAGGTTTTTTTAGGGCTTTCTGCACATTAACTGTATTTAGAGTGATGTGCCTTTTTGAATTACTCTGTTTTTTCTCTATGACTCTGAAAACTAAACCTTTACAGTCAGGATATGACAGAGAAAGCACCAACCTAATATCTGAACAATTTAACCCTTTAGAGTCACCTCTCAAACAAACAGATGAAAACAAACAAAACACCCACAGGAAAGGGGGCATGGGACCTCTAAGTATCATCTTGCAACTTCCTGTGAATTTATAATTATGTCAAAGTTAAAGATTTTCAAATAGTGCAGGGGAAATACGTTCACAACCCTGGGAAAACTTCCTTAGGTTTTGTCTCAGAACCGTACAAACTCCTTTCAAATACAGCCTGGTTAGTATTTATCTCTATTTTCCTTACCCTGATCTCTTCCTTTAACTCCTTCTTACTATCCCTCTTCTATACAACAAAAGCCCAGGAAACACGCACACAGTTTCCTTCAGTTGGCTGAGGGAAAGCTATGGCTTGAATATCAATATTCCTATTTTTTTCTTATTGTATATGGTTTACGTGTTCCTTCTGAGGATGTCACTTCCTGCTACTGTCAGGTGGCCACAAAGGGCATCCATTACACCCCTAATATGCTGCTTCGAATCTGATGAGTGGGAATGTAGATGCTTGTTACAGTTGTCCAAACTATTAGTAGGCTTCGTGGAAATATCTAAAAGATTTCCTGATGAGACAAAGGTGTAAGATTTCATGCATGGATTTTAGAACACCTCAGTGTGTTCAGCATGGTGCTTGGAGTATCAGGCATTAAATAAATGCTAGCTGAGTTGGAAAGTCCCTTTCTTGGTTTTTTATTCTCCACTATGTGCCAAAATGTGAAGTTTTGTTTTCTCCTGCTCCCCTTCTCTCTCTCGCCACACTCCCACACTCACACTCACTTACACACACATACACACACACTCATACACACCCACACTCACACTGAGCCCCTACTCCTTGTGTCAGGCACTGCGTCAACACTGGGGACACAGTGGTACAGGAGGCAGCCTTGAGTCCTTACCCTGTGGGCTTCGACTGCAGTGGGGGAAAGAGTAAGTGCCCCGATCCACAAAGAAGGATGTTCTAGTTGCCAGAAGGCCCAGCACGGTAACTGAGTTTATCTAAACTCTCTAATCCCTCCATTGCCTGTCAATTTCCTCTTTCTTTGTAGAGAGTAGTGAAGAGCACATGCTTCCTGATGTGCAGAGGAAACCCTTGTTCTGAGCCTGGGAGAATAAAGGGCCTGAGTCCAAGACCCCTTCGCCACGAACACACGTATACAAAACAAGGATACTCAAACTAGACCAAAAGAAAGTAATAAAGAATAACTAGAGCTATCAGCTTCTGTAAACTGATGACACATTTAAGTGGTTTCCATTAAGAAATGCAGTAAACGTCGTTTACATAAAACTTGCACGTCAGTATGATTGCTTTAAATAAAAAGAACTGTGAATGTGACCAAACAATTGAGTCGCACAAGTTGTTTTCCAGAATTTATAAGTCAGACCAGATTGCCTGAATTAATGCAATGCTTTGCATTTTTTCAAGAGCATCGCAGTTCCCATGGACTAAGAATGCACATCAGGTTCCGAATTCACTGGCAAGTCAGTGGGAGACCAAAGTGGAATGAGCTGGTGAAATTTTGTTATGATTAATTTGGGGCTTTTACAATAAGCATTTAGAAAATATGTCTATTCACACTTGACCCACATCATCTATTTTTTTTAGAAAATAAAAAGCCCAATTATGTTATGGCAGATATAGAGTATCTGATTCTCAAATATGGTTTTGAAGCTTAAACACATGGTGTTGAGGTTGTAAATGCCTAGTACATACTCATGTGTCCATTGAACAAATACAATTTCACAAGACTAGAGAATAAGAAGGTGTTGATAAGTCCTATCTCAGAGAATCACAATCATTTTTACATTAGTTTTGAAGTTTTTACTTTTTAAAAGCTTCTGATATATACTTTCCTACTTGAATAATCAGCTCAGTTGGGCAAGGCAGGTATTTTAACTATTTTAAAGATGAGGAAAGGGGCCCCTGGGCCCCTGGATTCTCTCTCTCCCTCTGCCTCTCCCCCACTCTCCCTGTGCTCTCTCGCTCTCTCTCTCAAATAAATGAATGGATCTTTAAAAAAATAAAAATATTAAAAATAAAGATGAGGAAAGGGGCGCCTGGGTGGCTCAGTCGGTTAAGCATCTGACTCTTGATTTCAGCTTATGTCATGATCTCAGGGTCATGAGATCGAGTCCCGTGTTGGTGTTGGGCTCTATGCTCAGCAGAGAATCTGCTTGAGAGTCTCTCTTTCCCTCTCCCTCAGCCCTTCCCCCCAAGCGAGCACGTTCACACATGCTTGCTCTCTCTCTCTCTCTTAAATAAGCAAATAAATCATTAAAAAAACAAAACGAGGAAATAGAGGGGGTGAGGGTTTAGTGGCTAATGTTGCATAGCTCGAAATAGTTCAAATATTGGTGTGGAAGCTGGAATTAAATCTAGGTTTGCATTCTGACTCTGCCACTGACTAAGTATATACCGTTGAACAAGGTGCTCTCCTCTCCAAGACTTTGTTTTTTTATCTGTAAAATAGGCATGATTATAATGCATGATTCATAATATAGGTGTCAAGGTGAAAGAAGGCAATGTGCATAAAATGTTTAGCCCAGGGCTTGACACAGTCTGTGCCCCAAAATGTTTGTTGTAATTATTAAGTGGCAAATCCAGGACAAGCCCAGATTCTTCAGAACTGAAGCTCAGCATTCCTCCCTTACAGCTCAGAACCTCACAAGAAGTTCAGTGCAACCAGAGGGCACCTGACTACACATTTAGGAAAGAGTAAGTGCGCCGTCTACATATTCAGACATAAAGTTGACTCATCAAACATGTTTCGTTCATTGAGTATGTAGAAGGTGCTATTAAGTAAGGAGGGAGAGATGAACAGATTATTTAGCAAATACTTATTTCATGCATTCATTCAAATTAACTTAGCACCTACTTTGTGCAAGGCACTTGTTAGGTGCTGAAGATAACAGAGGTAGATAAGACAGGCAAAGTCTCTGGCCTCAAGGGGACACGGCCAATCAATAGGAGAACAAAGCCAAAGTTTTATTTCTGATAAAGAAAGCATTGTTTCCATTACCAGAGAAGGTAAGGCAATACATTAGTGTTTTGTGCCAAGATTTTCACAGGCTTGCCTCCTTTGATCCACTTGCCAGGATTATGAGATGGACACTGTTGTCTCCCTTTGTAGATGACTCGATGCTGTGAAGCTCTGTCCCCACACCCCCATGCAACCCCTGCTCTGCT